AAACTGTACTTTCATTGAGAGAAATGAAAAAAGAAGATACACAAAAGGACATACAAAGAAACAGCCCGACAAAGACAACCCTTATAAGAACGGACTCCAATTCAAAAGAATAAGACCTAACGGATAATTACGAAAGGCCTTAGTGGCCGAACCCCATAAGGAAGTATTAAACCTAATGAGGTCCCAAACATAATCTACAGATTTCTCTATACCCCTAAACAACCTATTGTTCCTCTCCAGCCAGATACCCCATAAAGAAGCCAGAAAGCAGGCTTGCCAGAGAAAGCGGCCTCTATCACGAAAGGGGGGGAATAACAACACTTTTTCCATCATCGCCCTGCAATCTCTGGAACAAACCCAAGCAATACCAAAACCTCTAAAAAAACGACACCATAACTCCTGTGCAAACTGACAGGACCACAACAAATGCTCAAGATCTTCCGTGGCATTCCTACACAGAACACACCACTACGGGCCCAGGCAAAAGGAAGACATCCTTTGAATCCCATTCAAGGTATTGACTTTACCAAGTAAGACTTGCCACCAAAAGAACTTAATCTTCTTTGGAATTTTAATCTTCCAAAGAGAAGTAAACCAAGGGGTCACCAGGGACGGAGAAGAGGAAGAAGGAAGAGAAGCCAAAAAAGATGAAGACGACGGGGAAATCAGGACATGGAAAAAAGAGCTACAAGAAACACCTCCCGAAGGGTTGGGAAACCACATCCTCATGTCTTCCCTCCTAGAGGATAACAAGACACTAGACAACAGATCAAGTAATGCGGCAATCTCTAACGATTCCCGATCAGTTAAAGATCGAGAGAGCCTCAGTGAAATGGACGAATCCTCTTCCCCAAAATTCAAAACCTCGGCCACAGAAAGGAGTTTCTTTTTAGACTGAAAGTAAATCCGAGGGAACGCAAGACTCAAGGGTTTATCGCCTAACCAAGTATCCTCCCAAAAGTAAGTATTAAGACCCTCCCCTACAGAAACCCGAAGAGAAAGAGAGAAAACGGGGAAACATAACGCAATAGCCTTCCAGGGATTGAAATTGCTCACCTTAGACCCACCTGTCGGAATCCAGTCGAACGGATGTCGCCCATACTTACTCACAATAATCTTTCACCACAAGGCGTTAGGTTTGTGGAAGAAATGCCATAACCATTTGGCTAGGAACGCCTCATTCCTTAGTCTCAAGTTTCCAATACTCAACCCTCCCGCTTCCAACGGCTTGGACACCCTTTTACAATTAACAAGATGAGCCCCACCCCCCTCCTGCACACCTTCCCAAAGAAAATCCCTCGTAATCTTCTCTAACCCTTCACTCACTTTCACAGGGATCTTGAAAAGGGACAGAAATTAATTCAGAATACCTCTCAAAACAGACTGAATCAACGTGAGTCTCCCACCTTTCGAAAAGAAAGCCTTCTTCCACGAAGAGAGGCGCTTCTAAAACTTTTCCAGCACCGGCGTCCAAAAGATAGCAAACTTAGGGTTATGACCAAGAGGAAGACCGAGATAAGAGGAGGGAAACTTGCCTACTTCGCACCCTACCAGGGACGCCCACTCATTAAGTTTACCATCCTCACAATTAATGCCCAATAAAGAACTCTTACCCCTGTTTATCTTAAGACCCGAAATAGCTTCAAAGAAACCAAGAAGGCCATTAAGATTCTCAAACGCCTTAAAATTACCGGAGCAGAAAAGAATGGTATCGACAGCAAACTGAAGATGCGAGAGACGAGCTTTCTCCCTCCCCACTTCAAAAGCTTCTAAAGCCCCTTTCTCCACTCCAACTAAGATAAGCCTACTCAGGATATCCACCACAAAAATAAACAAGAAGGGGGACAAAGGATCACCTTGCCGGAGACCTCTTGAGGCTAGAATTTTTCCCCGAGGTCTCCCATTCACCAGGATAGAGTAGTTTACCGATCTAATGCAATTCCAGATCCAACCTCTCCATTTGTACCCAAAACCTTTCTTCCTCAAAACCTTATCCAAATCCCAGTCCACATGTTCGTAAGCCTTTTCGAAATCAATTTTAAAAATAACACCCTCTCTTGCTCTTTCTATAATCCTTAATCGCCTCATTAGCAATCAACACTTGATCCAAAATTTGTCTCCTAGCAACAAAAGCCCCTTGCATCTCCGAAATAGTAGTAGGCATAACCTTTTTACCCTATCAACGAGAGTTTTTGCGATTATTTTATAGAGGCTCGTTACCAAACTAATGGGTCTAAACTCTTTCACTTTGCAACATTCTCCTTCTTCGGGACTAGGCACACATAGGTCTCGTTCATAAAAGAGTCAATCACACCCCTCTCATGAAACTCACGAAACAGTTTCATCAAATCCTCCTTAACTGCATCCCAATTATCTTGAAAGAAAACCATAGTGAAACCATCCGGGCCCGGAGACTTATCTCTATCAAAACCAAACACTACCCGACGAACTTCTTCTAGTGAGAAGGGAGCTTCGAGAATCTCTTTCTCCATAACTGAAATGGGACTCCAATCCAAACCTTCCAGGAAAGGCCTAGAACATGGCATCGGGGAGTACAAAGTCTTGAAGAAAGAAATCACTTCCTCAATTTTCTGATCCTCACGCAGCACCTCCCCCGACTCATTCACCAATGTAGAAAATAGAAATAACGTTCTTACTTCTCCTTCCATTAGCCAGACTATGAAAAAATTTTGTATTAGTCTCCCTTCTTTACCCATTTACCCATTTGAACTTAGCTTTTTGTCTTCAGCTTTGATCCTCCTTACGAAGGATATCACCCAACTGACCCTTCAGTCTACACCTATCTCCCAACTGCTCCAGTGAAAGATTTCCATCCACTTCCAGAGAATCAATGACTTTGAGCTTCTCAAGAATCTCCACCTTTTCCACCCTAACATCTCCAAACGTCTCAACATTCCAGACTTTAAAAGAGGCTTTAAGGGCTTTTAACTTCTTCATGAAACAGAAACCTTCCCATCTCCCTTGGACTTCTGACCTCCACCGGCCTGGGAAGGAAGCTTTAGAAGAAGGGTGATAGAGCCACGTATTTTCAAACCTGAAAGGGCAAGGACCCCATTTAACCTCTCCTGAAACAAGACTTACAGGCCAATGATCAAAAGTTATCCTAGGACCCAAAGATTGCTTCACATTCAAAAAACCATCTAACCAACCTTTCGCCAAAAGAAATCTGTCCAGTCTACACCCAACTCCTTGACGAGACCACGTAAACCTCCCATTCACAGGGGAGGATCCAATAACCTGCAATCCTCATAGAACTAAGGAATCTCCCCATCGAAAATTTCTCAGAAGGAAACCTAACCACGTTAAAATCTCCTTCGAGACACCAACACTCCCCAAAAGACCAAAGAGGCTACCAATTTCCTCCCAAAACTCCTTACGACCTTTAGGGGACGGCATGCCATACACCCCAGAGACCCAACCCTGCCCTATCGAAGGGAAATGAAAGGCAATAGAGAGGGAATACGAACCCCTGACCGAATCCAACGACCTAAGAATCTTACTATTCCACATCATTAGAATCCCTCCCGAATCCCCAAAGACCCTAACCCTGCTCACTCAACATGCCGAGAGTTCCACAAACTTTTAACAAACTCTTTACAATAACTCACCTTTTTCGTTTCCACCAGAATCACTAAATCCAGGTGCTCTAAAAGCAGAAGCTCTTTGACCAATCTTCTCTTCTCCTTGCCCCCCAAACCCCTCACATTCCAAGCCACGACCTTCATTGGATACCTTTAATGCCCCTGGCAACCGAAGAAGCCGCTTTTCTATTGTAATTAATCAAAGACACTAGATTCTTCAACTCCCTTTTACCTTTTGAGACCGAAACCGTCCTTGACTTACCACACGCCTTCCTACCCTTAGGAGGCTCTTTACCTAAAGAAGGGTTTGACTCCTCCATAGGAACTATCTGAAGACCCACACTGGAGAGCAAAAAACACTAACCAAACCATTCACTCAGCAAGCGGCATTGGAAACTGAGATAGGAAGAGGCATCTTCTGAAACCCGAAGGCTTAAAAGGTTTGCAGCTAAACAATTATGACCTCCTCCCACTCTACTAACGTCAAGGGGCAAAGGATCCAGAGTCGGAACAGACTCATCCGAGAAGAGGGAAAAGGGCTCAGCGGCGCCTAAGGTACAATCCACCCCTGGAAGACTAAAGGGACAGGGAGGGATAGACGAGACACAAGTCATAAGACCCCAACCTTAGGAGAAGAAGACACCAAACCTTTCGAATTCCCAACGAAGAAATCGCCCCCCTCAACAGACCCTGACAGACCCCTTGGTTACACCTCCGAATCAAGGGATTAAAAGACAAAGAAGAAGAAGAACTTACCTGGGCCTCCTTACTTGGATCAGTCTCACGGCGAACCGAACCTGAGGGGTTCTCCTTAGCCAGAGCTGGAAAGGTCGCCTCTGTAGGAATGCCGGAAGAAACGCCAACCACCTCTGGACACAAAGTAGAAACCTGCACCTCATCCAATGCTCCTTCCTCCAAATCGAACACTTGCACAACGACCCATCCAAACCGCAATCACTCGAATTCCTCATGACCGACAAAGACAAAAAAGAATCGTCCTCTGAAAGACTCGCAATTGAGGGATCCGGAGACGACAGAGGCAACCCGTCTTCAAACAAGGGAGAAAAAGAACCAGAAACACCTAACTCATCGCGACCAGCCGGACCGGAGTCAACCCCTTCCTTTCCTTTATAACTTGGAGTTCCACCCAAAGTCTCTGGCCCAAATCCTTTACCAGCAACTGTGTCTACAGCCACACCACTC